GCCTGGGGTGTGCCCGGCCGGGCTCCGCGCGTTTAACCCGCGCGGGGCACACGGCGCCGGCAGCCCGCGGAACAAACCCGGGCAAGGAACGCATCGAGTTGTGGTCCCGGTCCCCGGTGACTGGAGATCCAGACTCGTTGTGCTCCTCACCCGGCGGCTCCGGGGCTGGCAGCGGGTCCGGGTGCGGTGACAGCGGCCGCCGCCTCGGCCGGAGTGTCCCGGGGAGCGGATCCTTGTGCGCCGGGCACCCCTGCGTGGGGAGGCAGCAGTCTTCTGCAAGGAAACCACGCCAAAACTTGATACCCCACCCCCCCAAAAAAACAAACCAGGCCTACAAAAAATCCTGTGTTCTGCTGCTCTCAGAAGCCCGAGAGATTTTGTTGCAGTAGGATTGCAAACACCTGATTTGGTGGGGGGAAATTTTTTTTTGGCCTTTCAGAAGCCAAAGCAACAAGTTTGTATTGGGTTAGGACTTGTTTTCTGCTTGATTTCAGGAAATGGTTGCTTAGGAAACTCATGTGTAAAGCAACCAAAAGAATGAAAAGGGTTACATTGATGCTGGATAAAGATTGTTTATCTTTGTATCGGTCTAAGACTTATGGTTCTGCAAAGTCGCAGTGAGAGCAAAAAAAAAATCACTAGGAAACAGCTAATACAAAAATCTTTGTTTCCTTTTTTTGCAGAAGCTTGTAATCTTTTCATGTAGCAATGTCTTAAGAAAAAAAGACAATGTTGAAGACAGAATTCTCTATTCCTTTAGTTCCAGGGTGGGGAAAAACCATTCTGGACAGCAGAAACTGTATTCAGCCTTTTTTTTTAAGCATTGCAAGAGCAAACTGGATAACAAAAGAAAAAAATTATAGAGAAGTACATCCTTCCCCCCCACACCGAGGTATCTGGATACTTAAAAGAAATATTGTTGCTGTCTGGAGTTTTTTGTTTCGTTTTTTGGGGTTTTTTTTGGTTTTTTAAGGAAATTAGTAGTTCATGTGTTGACCATTAATTTTGCTCAGAAAACCTTAAACCTTAACAGAGCTATTACTTGACTTCACCTTTACTTTAAAAAAGGAGTTAAATTATCTTTAGATGAGATTTGCATTAGCTACTCCATTCCTCAACAACAAAAGGACACAGGCCTTGTTTGATTTCAGAGCACTTAACTGGGTTATTTGCCTGCTTTGGTGACATGGTCTAGTTTAGAGTGATGTTAAACCTCTTTGAAAATACAGTTTCTTATTTTGCATTGTAAACATGCAATTCTATGTTCTATTAGGCTGCTTCAGTTGTAATTGCAGTGACAAAATTATTTGCTCTAAGCTCCAAGTTCAGGGTCAATCTAATAGCTGTGGTTTAAAAACCAGGGCTGTTTCCAAATAAGTGCTGGCAAAGCTTCAGTTTGGTTTTGGTTTGGGTTTATTGTTGTTTTGTTTTTTTTTCTTGTTGGGGGTTACTGGCTTTTTAAAGTGACAAAAATGGTTTTCTTGCTTGCTATGGACAAAATACACAGAAAAATACTGACTCAACATAATTAAAAAACTGTAAAGTATGTTTAAAAAATGTTAAGAAGGAAGTACCTTTTGTCCTAAAGTGTAAAGGATGAAAAAAGGCCTTCAAGAAAAGCAAAAAGTGTTTTTGTTTGACTTAGTGATTACAGATTGGGTTTTGAGGGTTCTGTTGAGAAACTAAAAAGCATTTTACTCTGACCCGCAAGGATCCTCATTCTCCCAATTTCTTTGGACTTCCAGATGAAAAGCCTTTCAGTAACAGTGTCACAAATGTGTCTTACCTGTAAGTCATGATATTTTAGGTGTCATCAGGTGCCAGGCTGGATACTGAATTTACACTTGTTTTGTTTGCCAGCTTTGCCCGGCCAGAGGCAGCAATGGAACGGTTCGGGGTGAAATCGGCGCCGTCGCGGAACCGCTCCAAGACCGCTCTGTATGTGACCCCCCAGGACCGCGTGACCGAGTTCGGCAGTGAGCTGCACGAGGACGGGGGGAAGCTCTTCTGCACCTCCTGCAACGTGGTGCTCAACCACGTCCGCAAGTCTGCCATCAACGACCACCTCAAGTCCAAAACGCACACCAAGAGGAAGGCGGAGTTTGAGGAGCAGAACGTCAGGAAGAAACAAAGGACTCTGACTGCCTCCCTGCAATGCAACAGCACTGCCCAGACAGAGAAAAGCAGTGTGATCCAGGACTTCGTGAAAATGTGCCTGGAAGCCAATATCCCACTGGAGAAGGCTGATCACCCCTCTGTGCGAGCCTTCCTGTCCCGCTACGTTAAGAACGGCAGCTCCATACCCAAGTCGGAGCAGCTAAGGAAAGCATATCTGCCTGATGGCTATGACAATGAGAACCAGCTCATCAACACTGAAGACCGTTGAGAAGAGAATTGTTTTCATCCTTGGTGTGAAGTTTTACATATTGATGGTGTGGTTTATTTTTATATTCATGCATATATACAGTGTTACATATTGATTTTACAAGCTATTTTGTATTCTTGTAGAAATGACAATCTACTTCTGAACTTAGTGGTGTGCCACAGATTGTTGCTAACCCTGCTGTGAACTTCAGAGCTACATTGATGTAGAGCTCACGAGGAATGTAGGGAGCATCCCTGGCACACACCTGATCTGTTCAGTCCAGCTGTAACTGAGGCTGAGAAAAAGGCACTTGAATGAATGGAGCACCCCACTTCACAGTGCAACTAAGAAGACCGTGTGGCAGGGATTGCTGCTCATGGCAGTAGATTGCTTTGTCCAGTATCCTGTCCCTGTGTGACCAAGAAGAGGTGCTGCACCTTTGAAATGCAAGAAGCTCTAGGATCATTAGTTGAAATATCACTGTTGGGGGAGGACTGTTGCAACTTTCTATTCAAGCTTGGTTTACGTTTTGAAACAGGAAACATTTTTCTTCTAGAACTCTCTCTTACGCTGTTTGGTGCAATTGTGGATGTATTTGTTATCCAGCTTAACCAGCCAGTCTCTTGTACTGACCTCTGAACTCCACTATCCTCATAAGCCTAGGAGTTCTACCCTGTCTGCTTTTCTAAAATCACTGTTCCTTTGTCTTGGTTTCACATGCCCCCTTCCATTTCAGTGCCAATACTTGGAAGCTGAGTAGACAGTAACTGAGTGTGGTTTGCAGCGCAGCTGCTGTCAAGTGAAACTTATGCTGGACCAAGTTTGTAGCAGAGAAGATTAATGCCTTTTTCCTACTAGCAGGACTAAGCTAAATCTAATTTGGGGATGGCACAGGCACTAAATTGAGGAGTTGGGGAAGTTTTTTCATTGTGCACAGGAGAAGAGGCTGCTCCATCTTTCCCTGAAGGTCCTTTACACCTCTGGCCTTGTCATCAGTCAAGGGAAGTGATTAGTTTTTAAAGCAGTTACTGCAAAGGCTCTTCAGTACTTGTAAGCACAAGTAGGAAGGTACATGCACTCTGAACTTATACTGGAATTACAGACCTGGGCTGTATTTCTTACTCTGTGCTATGGCCACATCTATTGGACTGGCAAAAACCAAAATGGGATATTGAAGAATTTCAATAATGTTACTCTCTCCAAAATCTAGTAAACTGTTACTAAGCTGTTCCAAATGATGATGCCAAATATTTCACCTGACACAAGTGTTCTGTAAAGGTTTTGAATGAAATGAGGGAGTACTGTGCAAAGTGCTATAATTCAATGACCTGTGCCTGCTCCAGATCTCCTGGGGATGCTTTGGGTTCAGAGAGGTGCCAAGCAGCTCCTGGGAGCACAGGAATCCTCTCTCCCCATGGGTACAATGGTATAAGGATGCTTTAACTCCTGAGGGTGGAGCCACTTGTCCAGCTTCCTTTCCCAGCAGAGTTTCACAGCAGTTTATTTACAGCAATACCAAGGAATTGCTGAAAGGAGACAAAATAACCAGATTATTTTGGGTTTGGAGGTATTTCCCTAGCTGTATATAGAGCAGTCTCCTTTGGTGGGCTGAGAGAGATTTACATACTTAGTAACAACTATTTTTTTTTGTGCAATTAGCCTGCAGAAATGCACTTGTGTTCCATGTCCTGCTATGAAACTGCTGGAATAAATAGACAAAGCTAAAAAGTAGAAGGTTTCTTACCCATGTGCATCAGTCCAGGGGTGCTCACCCCACTGCTGGTCTAGGACTTCAGGCAGAAATAACAGTAGCAACTTTTAAATTTAATCCTAGAGATCAAGATATGCCTTCCTAAATATCATTTTTTATTGCACAAGCTTGGATTTAGCTTAAAATCCTTAACTGCCTTGGGCTAGAACTGTTTAATAAATCTTCTGAAGCCAAGTGAAAGGTAAACTGCCAATAGCCTTTTCTGTCCTGACAAGAATTGAAAGTATTTTCTCACAGCTGCTGTTTTCTTACAGTGAAACAATATCCTTGCTTTATATTTTAATCTTTTTTGAAACCTCAGCAGTGGTATCTTAGAATTGAAGCAAATAGAGAATAATGGGCTATTGAGAAAACAAAAGCAGCTAGAAAAATGGGATGGTCAAAAGGTATGAATTTGGGCCAGTTCACTCAGTTTTTGCTAACGTGGGATTTTCCAGACTGCACCCCATAACAATTTTTTATAGTTTAGATGCTGTATATTCTTCCCTTGACTGACTGACAGACGTTTTGAAATGCTTCATGGGAACATTAATTAGGCTCTTGTATAACTGGAAAAAAAAAAAAAGAAAAAAAAGAAAATCAAGTTGTTTTAAAAGTTACAGTTTTACATAAAAATAAAAATACTGGTAAGTGTAATGAACTCACTTTGCAGGACTGCTGCCTTAGTAATAGGATATTTTCATTTAAAAATGAAGCCACAATACTTTTCGAGCTTTTTTGAAAATCAAGATGTTGATCTTGACAACAAACATTAATAATGGAGTAAAGCTATGAAAAATAAAGCACTTCCAGGTGATCTAGAAAGAATGTGTAAGTTTAGAATCATGAACATAACCCAAATCATCAAGACATTTTAGAGAAAATATGAATAAGTGATTGCATTCTGTAATGAAACAGAGTCCTGCAAACACTCTAATTCATAACGAAATTTTGCCAGTATGGCTGCAGTTGGATAAAGCATAACTTCCTTTTAATTGCTGTTCATCTCAGGGAAGATTTACAGCAGAAGTTTTCTCATCTGTCTAAACCTAAGGAATAACTAAATCCTCATCTATCTAAACCTAAGGAATAAAAGTAAATTTGAGGCTGTGATGGAGTTGTTTGAACAGTCACCATGGATGTTTAATTTCTTGCGCAGGAATGTATTTCCTGTAAAGGAGAAAACTCTCAGAAGTAAAGGGAGGATGGTAACAATGTCAGCTTTTCACATTGCATCCAAATGTAGGAACAAGCTCTAAGGGATACTTTCTGCCAGGTGGTTTTATGAATATATTTGAACTCTAAATGTAATAGAAAAAAAAATAAAAGAAGACATATTTTCTTCTTTGACCAATACTTAAACTAACATAGCCAAATTAGCTAAAATTAAACCCAAGTGTTTTTCTTGAATCAACATGTGCAAAGAGTAAAATCCAAACAGGAGCACTCTCTGTTGTGTGACTCCTTACATGGATATACAATGATAGCTTCAGCTTGCATGTTCTTGAATAAACATGAGCAAGCTTAAAAAATTTTAATAATTTTGAAGACTGTAATTTGGCAGGTCCCATGGGAAGGTGAAACATTCAGCATAATGAAAGGGAAATCTGTTTTTCAACTGAGAGAGAAACTTGTCCTGCAAAGTATGGGATATTCTCATGATAAAGGCTGGTTTTAGCCAGAGCCCCTTTTAGCAATTCTGTTGAACTGAAGAGTGAGATGTTTCCTGTTAGGTTTTGCAGCATAATGAGCTGGTTTTCAGGAAAATGGAAAGCAAAAAGCTGGAAGTTTGACAAGGATAATCTCTATTTATATTTGCATATAAAGAGAGGCAAGGCCCACTTGTTGTTGCATTCACATTGTACTCACTGCTACTTACTCTGTGTAATTTGAGTGCTCGTTGTCTTTGTACAATTTTAAAGTCGTGTCTAACTTTCAAAATATTTTTATTTTAACAAAGCTTCTCACTGTAATAGTGCTGTTAGAGTTTAGTCTCTTTTGGTCTAATGAAGATGCTTTATTTTTGTTTTGGTGGTAGGAATGTTTTGTTCATGGTGAGTGGCCACAGAAATGGTTTTATTTAAAAAACAGTCATGAACTTATGATTAGATACTAGAGTGAGGCTGAAGATACCTGGGTCCTGCAGTACCACAAGACTTCCTGTAGGAACCATAAGACCAGAGTAAGGGATTTAAGTTTTTATATTAAAACAATACTGAAGAGAAATACTTTACATTGTAAAGTTTTCACTTGGTAATGAAAAAACGGTCTCTTTAAAAAAAAATAAAGGTATTCCTTTTTTATAGAATTTATGCATGATCTCTTATTTTATCAACCAAGAACATGGATTAAGAACATGTGGTAGTTCACTTAGAGTGGTGTAATACAAGACAGGAGGAATGGATGGGGACAGGAAAAATGAGGGAGGTGCTGCTGTAGCTTAAGGTAACATCAGATATTGAAGCAGCTGGGGATCTGTGCAATAACTGATGTCTGTTTCAGGACTGGTTATACAAAACCTCTGCTTCCTGTCAATTCCTGATTTTCTTCATAGTGACAGAAATTCCCTACTGATGCCTTCTGCTCCAAGTGAATACCAGATGGAATGATTGTTGGGCATTTTGACACTGCAGTAAACGCTTTGTAGGTACAGGACTTTGCAGCTATCCAAGGCCTCAGATCTATTCAGGTAGGGTTACTGAAATGTGGAAGAAACCAAAAAGGTCACAGTTTGATCCTCTCCCTTAGGGGCTTTATGAAAATTGAGCAAATAACATCAACCCATCAAAAATTATAATCAAGTGTGGGTTTGATTGTTTACACACTTCCAGAATTCTGACCTGTCTTGACATCTCAGGATGTATCAATGGCAAATTCAGGCAACCTCTTGACTGATGAATTTATCAACAATTATCTTCTCATTTTCAGTCATTTCCAGGTCACAGCACATTAAGATCAAGTGCTTCTTGTTGTGAAATGGAAAACCAGAATAGAAATAAACATACCCTTTGTAAAATCTTCTTGTGCAGAGAATTAATATATGAAACAGCATGTGCACAGTTGCAAAATCAATGTATCAGTCAGGATTTGTGTGGAAGCTGATGCAGAACCAGGTGAAGCAAATATTTAAAGTTTAGTAATTAGGCCATGCTAAATTCTGATGGTGACATTTTACCTTTTTAACTGAATGAAGGCAGTTCAGTCCATATCTAGGATGCAGTAGGATCAAGTGCACACAACTTTCAGGCCACAGTGGTATTGATAATTAGGTTTGACATTTGTTATTTGCATAGGCTGGAGGAGAGACAGTCTGTGAAAGTTCTGGCTTGTTGGGTTTTTTTGTTGTTTTTTTCTCATACCACCACTTTTTTTACAAGGGGTCTGGAATTTTGTGGCTTGTGTGGTGGTGGTCATATCCAAAAGCACATCTTGAGTAGAAGCAGAAAGTGCAGGATGAGAGCTGGAATAGAGAGAGCTACTGCAGCTCACTTGAAGATATTGTGGAAGAAAATCATTTAGGGACTTTAGACATTCTTAGGAGGGGTTTGTATGTTAGTTTGCCTCAAGTGGTTTTTTAATCTGTCCTCCAGTGTACAAAATAGCTCAAATTCAGAATTTCACTGCAGTAATTGACACCTTCTCACCTTAATTCTTCTATAATTAGCTTTAAATTGCTCTCTCCCTCCCTTTATTTCTGAAACCTGTCATTACCTCAAGACAAATCCAACAGCTACCCATGATTGCGCTTAGGGAAATGTTTTACAGACAACAAACTCCCAAGTGGAGCTTTAACCAGCTCTGGACTGAATGGACTGAGCCCCCTTGTGAGAGCACCCAAGCTCAGCCTACAATACAGAACCTGGCTCAAGATGTGTGCTTTGGTTTAACAAGGCTCAGCTCATCTCCTGAAACTGAAATTGCTGAGGGAAAAGTGGGGAGATGCAAAGAATCTCACGTTGTGAAGGACTTAAATCAAAATGAAGGAGCTGATCCTTCCTTTACCAGGAGTAAAGCTGCAAGGGCCACCTTGGCAAGTGCAGCAGCAAATCCTGAGCTCTGTAATCACCAGGGACAAGCAAGGAGCTGATGGGACACTGCAACACTGCTGTTCCTTTAAGGCACTAAAACCTCCTTCACACAGTGTTAAAAGGTAATCTTCAGTAGACTTCCTGGAGCCCACTCTCAGAACGCTGTGTCTCACTCTGTGGTTTCCTGCAAACAACAAAATTGCAGCCTCAAAATAGAACATTTGAAGAAATGTTCTAAAGAAAAAACAGAGGTGGGACAGAAAGAACATTGCATAGATTATGGCTGGGGTTTTCTTTTCACTTACATTCAGTAAAGTAGCAACAGGCATGGCAAACGGGACTGAAACAGGTAAAGTTTCTGTTTATAGCAATCCTCAGTGCTCAAATTTCACCCCATATTTTTGAAACCTCTTCCTCCAAAATAATCCTATCCAACACATAGAACTGTGCTAGTGGTGTTTAAATTGAATTAGTTCTTTGAATTCAATTGCACTGAATGGGGTTTTGTAAATACCTGATGTCTGCTAGGATTCAGCAAAGACGTTATGAAGCTACTACCAAGAGTGCAAATCAGTGCCCATCTGGTAACATCTTTTTCTGCCATCTCTCCTTCCTAATGATACACTTTAGGACTGGGACTCTCATTCCTTACTTTGATAAACACTTATTTTATATTTATTTAGCATTTACTATCCCCTGAAACATTCTTTTAAAGTGAAACTAGTCTCTTGCAGTGTCTCAAATCCATGGACTGGGTTAAAAAAACAAAATTAAAAAATCTAAATTACCATTTAGATGTCACTTGTATCTAAATGATATCATAAAAATAAAATGCCTTAAGATGGTAATTAAGTCTCAACAAGAGAAAACCTTCCCTGAATAACCAATTTATCTCTCAGAGCTGGCTTTGGATGCAGCCACCAGGTGTCTTCAGAGCACAAAAATGCAATTTGTGGTAGGAGTGTTTTGGCTCAAGTGGAGCCCCTGCTGTGTGTGCAGTTACACTCAAGGAGTTTTCTTCCATAAATATTTTCCATTTAGGCTGGATTGGAATTTTTGTCAGGCTTTTTCAGTTCTTCACAAACATCAGTAGGATTCTCCTGATCATCACACGCTCCATCCAAACACAAAATTTTTGATAGAAGAAAGAAATCCAAACATAACATTTAAGAAAGTTGTTCCATTATTTTTTTCCAAAACATTACCCTGGGAAAAAAAATCCTGGTAATTTAATAAGTATTTGGTAACCATCTAGTAGCATTTGGTAAGCATTTCCATCATAAGCAGAGGTGACAATTGCTATATACAAAATTTCCATTTGCCTTCAATTTGGTTCTAACTTTATGAAGGAATTTTGCACAGGCAGAAGTTTTTGGGAAGGTTCAGCTAAGTGCTTCAATGTCTTAAAAATATTTAGGGGAAAAAATAAATCTTAAAGACATGCTGAGAAAGGAATACACAAAATCCAAATTACTTGTCCTTATGAAGATGCTGAGAACAAGCAGCAGAAACACTCATCCCTTACAGCGCAGATGGTTGTGTGAATAGTGAACTTTTTAAACTTCTTAACTGACTGATGTTGAATTAGTCATGCAGAAGCACTGAACAAGTTTAAAATCCTGCTTTGCATCCCTCCTTTCTGCTATCTTGCTTCTTGTAAAATCAAAACCTCACTTCCAGAAGCATCTTTCAAAAAACCAAAAAAAACCCTGCAGCTTCGTTCATTGCCCTGTGAGGGGAGCCAGGAGCCAGAGAAGGGGAGATGTTTTTTAAACCCTCAGGATCACCTTCTCTTTCCAATGCCCAGACAATGAAGGTTTCTCCAGTCATGTTGATAAAAAGGGTATTAGTGTACATTCTTCAGGTAATGCTGGCTCAGAGCAATTATCAAGTTTACAATAAGATCTGGCCTCATAATTAAACCTGTCTGTAGCTATTAAGCATTACAAGTGGAGAACAGAAACCAAAGCAGTGCTCAGTGCACCCTGCAGATAATGGGTCTTATTTTATTACCACAGCAGAGCCTCCTAATTTAATTGAAGAGGATGATAATGATAATAACTGAGAAATATTCAGTAACCAGCTAGGTTACTTAATCCAGTAACTCCAGCACCTGAGGATAAAGTACTTCTGAACCATGGCCAAAGGTTTTGGTAGCATTCAATCCTGAGCTTGAAATCTGGAAATCCTACAAGTTCTAGGTCCAGTCTGCAGTCAAATTATCCCTAATTTCACAGTATATCTGCAATTATTTAGCTTAACCACATCTAATTATCATCCCACTTTCAACTCTGAATGGCCAGTTTTTGAGTAAGAGGCTCTGCTAGTTTGGACTGATGTAAGGACTACACTGTGCCCAGTATCGTCCTGTGATAAAGCACTGCTAAAATGACACAAATTACTACAAATATCAATACAATGTTTATAGGAGCATCACACAAACAAAAGTCTTGCAAGTCAGTCTCTACACAACCATGATGGAAATATTCTTTTTTTAAATGCACTTCCTTCTTACCCCTTCTGAACTTGTTTGGTTTTTATTTTGGTCAAAAGTAAGCTGAGAGTTGAAGCCAACTTATTTAAGCTTTGTATGTTGCAAACCTATCCACAGAAAAAACAATGAGAGCCCCAGAAAACCCTCCAGTCTACACCAGAAAAACTACATTAGTGTTTCTTTAAAATGGGGGAAAAAAGGGAAAATGACTAAAATTCAATTTCTATTTGCAAAATTGCATTCCTCAAAAAATAACCCAATGGAAATATAAACAACTACAATTACTAATATAGAATTTTCCATCATTCCTTGAGAAGCCTTCTCTGAAGCTCAGGGAAGGTGTTTAATTAAATTAATTTAATTAATAAAATAATTTAATTAAATGAGCTGCAGAACTGTTGTGCTCATTTCAGGGATTGAAGAATCCTCTCTATCTGCTGCTGGAACATCTTCATATGTAGGAAGAGATGAGAAGTTCAGTACCCTGAGTTGTAGAGCAGCAAAATATTTGATAGGTATGTGAGAACAAGTGAAACAACTCCTAACTGCGCCTTCACATTTTGCATTGTATAAAGTGCCACTGTATTTCCATCTGTGCACTGATCCAAACGTCCTCCAAATGCTTCAGTGGTGAACTCTGAGCATCTGTGTATTTTAACAAGGCTCTTTCTTCTTCTCTGGAGGTCAGAGGGACATAGAAGACTCCGGTCCTTAATCATGGCCAAAGTGATCCATGCTGATAAACGCTGATCCTGGGAGAGGAAAGAACTTTTTAAGCCAAAAGAAGGATATCTTAGTCATGCTGCTTGAAAACTTGCAGTTTGTTGTGAATGTTGATGGTGTAAAATGATACTGGTTCTGACCAAGGACAACTGAAGACAACAAAAGTGATACATGTGCATGACTTGTGAGACGCTCTGGTGTGTGGCATTGGTTATGTCAGAGGATATTGGATCATTACAAACCTATTGATATTTTGTTCCCTAGTTCATTTTTTGGGTTAATTTCTTTCTTGATGTTTTGCTTGCATGAGTAAGTTCCTGTCATTAACAGAGAAGACTGTATTCACTGCAGTGTTACCAACTCACAACTCTGTGTTCAATTTTCTTCATGCCTACTACCTGGCAGGTGAAGAGGAGTTATCAAGATTTCTTGAATCTGAGGATTGTCAGCATCTCTTGTCCCGCTTGCCTGGAAAGTATCTGTGTGCCTTTTAAGCCACTTTTCTTCATTGTTTCCAGAATTTCATCTGTAATGGAAAGTGCAGTGTTTACAAATTAGTTGAAATTGGTTATAGAAGACAGTTCTAAGGTGCCAAACTGTAAAGCAAAGTTTATAAACTCTGCCCTCTTTCAGACAGGAATTTTTATGCAAAACAATCTCCTACCAAACACAAATAAAGCTCATAATTTACAAACTGAAGTTTGGTATTTTGCTAGAATTCTGCATGAAGCTAAACCGTAGGAGAAAGTGAGATCTGTAGCATCTTTTCACAAAAGCTGCCTAATAAATCAGGTATGAAGAATAATCTTGACATTACATGATCATTTGTGGCCATTAAGCATTAGATCAGAAGGAAAAAGTCCAAATCTTCTCTCTACACCTGTAAAATTAAAGACATCATATTTCCCACTAAGCCTTTTAGGTTAATACCACCATTCTCTTCCATAAGAAAAAACTGGCCTGGCATCATTAATTAATTCAGATTTTATTAATCCACTTTCAGACTTGGAACTGAAATCCTGCAGAGCTGCTAGGGTCCCACACACCTTCACTTTCCAAACTAGCTTGGGGAGTTCTTAGCTTTGATAAATTTGCCTGCATTTTTGGTCTAGCTGTGATCAACATTTTGATTTATACCATGTTCAACCTGGTTTGGCACACTGGAATGTCCAAGGACAGTGATCACCTGGATTATTTTCTTTAATTGTGACCAAGTAGAATAATCCTCCTGGTGAAAGCAGGTCTGGTACTAATGGGAAAACTCTATCCATTACTTCTCTGCCCTGTTTGCCCCCAGCCCAGGATGCCTCTATTCCATGGCTTTTCACCTATGAAGAAGAAAAACAAAGATTTTCATAATACAGAATGACAGAACTGTCACAACAACAGACAGTAGCAGTACTGTTTTTACTCTGTATTTCAAAATTTTCCTACCTCTTCAGAAGGTGTTACCACATATGGTGGGTTAAACAGCAGTAGATCAACCTTCCCATTTAATCTTGGGGATAATCCTTTGACCTGTAGGTGAAGTTGATGATTGTGTGGGGTTTCTTTTTGGGACCATGAAGAATGCAAATGTTTTGTAAAAATACAGTCACATGGTGCAGTTGTTCAGCCATTTTAAATCCCATTTATTGTGGCCTACCTGCATCATCTTTTATAAATGTATAAAAGGGTTAAAGAGATGAGAAAAAATATCTTTTCTCCTCATCAGATTTTGTAAGAAACTAAAGGTAACAACAGACACAATTAAATTCTAATTAAATCATAAAAGGCTGAAAACCAAAAATTACATAACTTTAGACAAAGGGCTATGATAATGTCAGGCCACTATAGAATTCCTTGTCCAGCACTTTCCAAACTATATCTACAGTATTTTTTTCAATTAATACAGTGAATTTTTAGAGCCTAATTTTGAATTTTAGTATTTAGTATTATTTTATTTAGTATTTAGTATGAATTTTATGAATTTAGTAGTTGGTTGGGGGTTTTTTGGCAGGGAGTGATGTCCAGAGGTCCCTTCCAACCCTAACTATTGTGTGACTCCATGATCTCCAGTAAGCATTAAGAAATGATACAAACTATGAAGAAGATACTATTGAAACCTCTCTCTCACCAAGTCAGTAATGATGGGCTGCAGGTGAACATTGTTAAGCAGAGCTGTCTCCTGGGTGCAGTAAGCTGCCATGGGGTTTATATCTGTGCATCTAAAAGGGAAATATTACATAGTGTAAGTTATAGGCTACTGTACCTGGAAGTTTAACCCTATGAACCACAAGCTAGTTTATAGAACCACAGAATATTGTGAGTTAAAAAGGACCCACAAGGATTTAACCCAGCCAACACAAGTGTAGGCTTAGCAATTTGACTGAGAAATGGGAAAATGGATTTCTAGTCACAACACTACTCCATTTGGTACAGAACCTGAAGTAAATAATTCAGGCTGCACCATAAGCTCAGAAATGCTTCACAGGCTCTCTTTGCTTTGATTTATGTATCTATAGAATCAAGAAAAGAATAGTTTTAAAAATGTGAAAATACATATGAGAAGGCTAAGCATCCTGGGCTAAGCATCCTTTATTATTGTATGCAACAGTTTAGGTGCTGTTATACTTACATGTACAGTGCACTGGGTCCAAGGATGGAAGAAGCCAGAAATGTTGAAACCACACCAGATCCTGATCCTATTTCAAGGCAGATCTCAACTCTAAAAAGAGAACACTCTGGATGACTTTTGTTTATAACAGACACAGAATTGGTCAAGACAGTTTCATAGACCAAACACGTTGAAGTACAGAATCACAAAACAACCTGAGCTGGAAGGGATTCAGAAGGATCATCATCCAGTTCAACCCCTGGCCCTGCACAACCCCACCCTGCGCATCCCTGGCAGCGCTGTCCAAAGCCTGAGCTCTCTCAGGCTGGTGCTGCGACCATTCCCTGGGGAGCCTTTCCCATTGCCCCACCAGCCTCCGGGAGAAGGATCTTTTCCTGATATCCACCCTAACCCTTCCCGGCACAGCCTCAGGCCGTTCCCTCAGGTCACAGAGAGCAGGACCAGCGCTGGCCCCTCCGCTGCCTCTCATCAGAAAGCTGCAGACAGCGATGAGGTTTCCTCTTCTCCAGGCTGAAGAAGCCAAGCGCCCTCAGCCCCTCCCGGCACGGCTTCCCCTGCAGGCCCTTCCCCATCTCCGCAGCCCCTTTGGACGTTCTCTAATGCCTTTAATTAGAGATCAAAGATTAAAAATTAGAGATTCATTTAACTGTGCCCGCAATCCCCCCTCAGCTCACCCCGCCCTGCCGTACCGAGCCTCCCGCAGGCTGCCCGCGTCCCGCTCCAGCGCATCGAGCAGCAGGAAGGTGTCCTCGGCCGGCTCGTACACGTCCCGAAAGGGCCCCCGCGGGCCCAGGTGCTCGTAGCGCGGGGTGGGCAGCGCCATCCCGGCCCTCCCGGCCCGCATCCGGGGGAAGGGGAGGGACGAGGGCAGGGACGTCCCTCAGCATCGCTCCGTGCCGTTCGGATGTGCTCGCCCCGAAGTTCCACCGGTTCGGTGCGGTCTGGTCGCCCGGATCGGACGGGAAACAGCGTCGGTGTGGCGGCGCTGCCCGCCGGCGGTGCCCCTGAGGGGGAGAGGCAGAGCGCTGCTGCTGCTGCTGCTGCTGCGGCTTGCGGTGTCGGCCGTGCCGATTGTGTTTCCCTCACGGGAACGACCACAGGGAGTCAGCACAAACCCGAAGGAAAGAGGTGCTGAGGGAGCTTCTGAAACACACGGGGGAAAACCCTTCTATTGCTAGCCAATAAAGCTCCGTTTTCTAATAATAAAATTACTATACTTCTGTGGTTCTTAGCCAGCAACACTTGACAGCATCCTAATGTACCAAGCATCTGAACTTCAGAGTCGCAGAAACACAGATTGGTTTGGGTTGAAATGGACATTAAAGCTCACCTCATTCCACCCCTGCCATGGGCAAGGACGCCTGTTCAGTCACAAAATCATAGCATAGTTTGGGCTGGAAGCTCATCCAGTGCCACCCCTGCCATGGCAGGGACACCTCCCACTGTCCCAGGTTGCTCCAAGCCCTGTCCAGCCTGGCCTTGGGCACTGCCAGGGATCCAGGGGCAGCCACAGCTGCTCTGGACACCCTGTGCCAGGGCCTGCCCACCCTCACTCAGTGAAAGAATTTCTTCCTAATATTCAATGAACCTACTCTCTATCCATTTGAAGCCATTCCTCACTGTTCTGTCTCTCCAGCCCCTTGCAATGAGCTTCCATCTTCCTTGCAGGCTCCCTTTGGATATTGGAAGGCTGCAATTAGATCATCCTGAAGCCTTTTCTTTTCCAGGCTGAACAATCCCAATTCTTTCAGCCTTTCCTCACAGCAGAGCTGCTCCATCTCTCTGATCATCCTGGTGCCTCCTCTGAGCTCTCTCCAGCAGCAGTTCCTCATCCTTCCTGTGCTGGGACCCCAGGGCTGGAGGCAGTGCTCTAACAGAAACAAGGCTCTGCAAAATTAACAATTGAGGAAAAATTTCAGGCCACCGATTGGATTAATAATTTTCTCTACTCCACGAAACTCAAAGACATTCTGACCAAAAGCAGAAGAAAGAGCTGAAGAGATTCTAACTCGCATCAAATGTCTGTGTTGGATTATTAAGGCCCTGAACACTCAAATTCTGAAGGAGGTGACTGTCTAGGTCAATGAAGGAAAAAGATGATGTTAAGAAAGGCAGTGTAATTAATCCAGAGATTAATATTCACAGATACAAAGATGAGGTTTTGACTCAAGGGTTGTTTTTGTCCTGTCAAGGAAATGAAACCACCAATCTTTATCTTAAAATAGGCTTCTTGCTCCACTAGCTAAAAAAACCAAAACAAATCTAGAAACTCAGAAGTACAGAAAATTTCAGTTCCCAGAGTAAATTTATTCATGGACCTGATCTTGTACTAATATTACCTTTTAATTTAAAATGTTACTTTCTCTTCAGGAGATGATACCAGCTTTTTTTGGCTCCAAAGGAAATATAGTAGATGCTCCTTCATTTCATCTGCCTTCCCAAAGATTTGCTGCTATGCCAGAGAAACAAGTACTTGTAAAACATACTAAGCTTGCATGAAATTCCATTCCTTTGGCCAAATGAAGTCATGTTAAGAGACAGAATTTTGCACTGTGCCCATATTAGGAAAATTAATTCTTCGGATATATTTTTTTATTCTCTCCAGGTGGTCAAGCTTTGCAGTGCAGTAGGAGAAATGACTTCATCTCCTTCAGCTGTACTGGTTATTATTTTTGGCTGTTTCATACTTCATGAAAACTGGTTAATTATTATTGGGGGCTTTTTTTAATACTTCTAAGTCCTTGTGGGTGAATTTTATAAAACATTTATTTTTACTGCTTATATAACTACCTACCTAAAATGTTTTTCTTGGTAGACAGCTGTTCTGTTTTTGCCAAAACAGATTCTATTTCAATTTTGGGAAATTGTTGGAAAGCTGATATTCTCATTTTTCAGCAGTGCCCGTGCCATGTTATTAAACTGGGCTTTACAGAGATGAAAAATTGATCTTGACAGGAATCATAACCATTTGTTTACACTAAGCTGCATGGCTTCATCCCATCTGGAATTCAGTGCCATGCCTTTCATACAGAATCCTCACCCATGATTTCCTGTCAGCCCTCAAAGGCTTCCTCTGTAAAATGCTCAAACATTTCACATCTCCTGGAAGAGATGGGAATTCTCCTGTTTTGATGCATTTGAGGAAATAGAGCCACCAGGATAACTGCAACGACAGAACTGCTAAGAGAAGGCTGGAAAAACCTCATAATTTCTTTCTTCAGCCGAGCAACTATCCATCTTCCTAAAAGTAGATAGTTTTCTTCCCATCAGTATTTCTAATTAAAAGATAGCACTTCCATGCTCTAGTAAGTAGAAACCTTGTAGATTCTGACCTAAATACAGAGAGGATATGTTTTATACTCTGTCTCCTGGAAAGTATATAAACTTAAGTAATTCTTTTCACAGTTTTTCTTTGTGGATTTGTAGGCAAAGAGAAGTTCTCATCAGCCCTTGTTCTGCTTGACTAAATAAAACATGCTCTTAAAAGTTTTCTGTCACAAGACATTATTTTCATTTCTCTTAACATACTTCTAGACTTTCTGCATATGGATTTAAGTCTGACTTCACCCTGAATGTGACTGGCACAAAATATTACAGGTAATGCCTTACTGATGCTTTGAAGAATTTACAAGCTTCATTATCTCTTTCATGGTACTTTCATGGTACATGCCAGGCTCATGGTTGCACTTGATTTGAGGAAATGTCTTTTTGCCTTTTGTGATCAGCTGTTTTTCCTAAGTTTTCCTCAATAATTTCCAAATGACTTACTATAAAGTGAGAATTCTGTAGAATTTTATTTGTTTTAATAGTTCCCTTTTTGCATGCCTATTTCTCACATTCTGATGATTTCATTTTAAATTGGTGACTCCTGATTCCTTGCTGTCATCACAGTGATGCCAAGGATCCTGAGAAAAACACTAAGCACAATAAGCCCCAAGACTGAAATTTCGGGAGTCACCAGTAGTGACTGAATCTGTCATTATTCCTTTCCAGCATAGTATATGACTAACTTTTATTCACTTTCTTGTTCACTTCATGCTTCTGCTGCCAATTCCAGCTTAGTTCATACTTTTCCACATGACATCACATCTCAAGCTTCATGAGAGCCTAGGCAGGTTAATTTTTGGTGTTTAAAAATTGAGACAGACACTGCAGGAATATAATAAAGTGTCCTGCCTCTTCCACATGTCCAAAATCATCACTGAGCTGTTCTTTTTAATTGTTATCCCAGGTCAGTGGTACAGAGGTCCTGCTGTTTCCCTTCTTGTTCTCTTGAAAACATGTCCAAACCTTTTTGCTCCCATATCTTCATAATAATATCTTCAATAGAAATGCACGATCATAAAATTGTTAGGGTTAGAAGGGAATTTAAAGTACATCTCATTCTCTTCAAATTTTAATAATTCTTATTTTACATTATAAAATGTAAAATAATAATTAAAAAAAGTTCTAGCTTCCAAAACATTGTTTTTTTATTGATCAGTCTTTTAGTCTATTTCTTTTTGATGCTATCTCATGCTTGAGATGGTTATTTAAGCAATAAGCTTTGAAAACTGTTTCTGCTCTCATTCATTCCCTTGCTTCCATCTCTTACCTCATTGCTTCCATCTCTTACCTCAATCAAATGTTTTCATCCCCCTATGACCTTGGCATCCTTGAATAACATAATCATCACTTAACTAAGGCCAAAACACTAACTAAAGACATCTTTTTACTGCTGTCCTGGTTATTAAATGAAGAGCTACTGCTGCTGTTGATGTGAAAATCACTTGGGTGTTACTAATTTCTAGTCTCTGGATAATTCACTTCTTTTTCCAAGTGTTGCATTTCCAAATGACCCTTTCTAATCATACACCTGAGTTCCCTAACCTACCAAAAGCCAAAGCATGGGGTTTATCCTCCAATAAAACTCTCCATTCTCCACAGATACTGTCAGATGAGTTAATGTTGGGTTTACACATGGTTCTTTCGTATTTCTAAGGTGAATATCTCAAATCTCTTTTCACTTCCTTGCTTCCCTCCTGACTGATGAAAATCCTTGCCCTTACATTATAGCTGCAGTACTTCATGGAATGGCTTTGGGAATTTTAGACCTGCTAAGGAACGGTCCAGGAATAACATATTGGAGAGCAGGAATGCTGGATGCTTGTTTACAGCCCTTCCTGAAAAGACCCCAGAGTGCATGTTAAGCATTAAAAACCAATCGCAAGCTCTTGAAGGAATTATTACATCACTCCAACACTGAAATGCAGCTGCCTCAGGGGAAAGGCAGGGAATTTTTAATAGTGCACAGAAATATTTCAGCACTTCAGAAGAGAAAGTGAATAATGCCATAATCAACTGAGCAGAAAGGGAATGTTTAGTAAGTGGTCATATATAGTTGTTTTAACTGGATTTAGGCCAGAAACCAGGATAAAACCTGCTGCTAATGGCAAAAATAAATTGGGGTTTTTAAGTCACCAATGACTGTATCCTTTGGTTTTCATTTGCATTTTAAACCACAGCACCTGAAGCAGCAGAGTTGTAGTGGAGATTTCTGTTATAACTGGTTACCAACATTTCCTTCTTCAGTGAGCAGGAATGATGTCTGATTGCCCCAGGAATTCACAAGAAATTAAGTTCTGTGCAGGCCTGTACAGAGAAGCAGCAACACCACTGTCAGCTGGTCATTTAAATTAGTCACTGCTAGAGAAAATAATTCACAGCAACTTTGTCTCATCATAGACATCTGAGTGGGTAAACAGACACCAGGTCTTTGCCTATTTTAATTTATAATTTTATTGACTTCATCAGAGTTGTAGCTACTCTAGTGTTCATAAAGAGAAGATAGAAAACCTAGAAAACACAGTTATAA